GGCGGAACAGCGGTGCGGCATTGCCCGCGCGGATTTTTTCCGAACTGTCTATTTTTTTTGGACGCGTCGAAAAACAAAATCGCGCGGAGTACCCCGCGCGAGAATTTTTTCGAACCTAGAAGTTGCCTCGATGCTCGGCGAAGTCAAAATGTTGTGTCCCCAGTTGAGGACCGAAGGTCGGCGGTGCTCGCATCGCTTGGGCGCAAGGCTGCCACCGTTCGGCGTGCGTCGCAGATTGCGTGGGCGCGAAAACAGCCATGGGCCCGACCGTCGTCGCGCTTGCGATCGCATTCCGGCCGCCTTAGGAACCGCTGATGTCATGTCGCAGAGGAGGCACCTTTGGCTTATTTTCGCAATCTACCCCCCCCCCCACACACACACACCATGCGCACTTGGACAGGCTTGGGAATAAGCCAGCGTGCATTTTGGGCTTGAACTTTCGCAATCTATCCCCCCCCCCTCGCGCGAAGCGGCGACAGCCCCGCGCCCGAGCAAGACGACGGCGGAAAAGTGCAATGGCACGCCGCGTGGCAAGTGATGGCGCGCGCGCTGATGGGTCTGCGGAAAACAGGACAGCCACGTGCGTGAGGGAGAAGCCAGAATCTGCACAACGGGCAAGGGACCGAACCAGCGACGCCGACGGGACCAAGCAGGAGAGGCCGAGAACACGACGGAGTGACGAGCGATGGCGTCAGCGAGACGACCACGTTGGAGTTCGCCCTCGGCAGTTCATTGGCGGGGCTGCGCCTGCGCCGCCCCCCCCCCGCCGACCGAGTGGCAGTAGAAATATGAAAGACAGCAGGTGCATGCTCATATAGCCCGTGCCTGGTGCCCCAATGCGCATGCGGCAGGTACTTAGCAAGCATTCGGCAGACGCCCGTGTCCACGCGCAACCTAAACCCTCGCATCTCACTGCCCTACCTCGGCCCGCGCAGGCACATTGGCTGGCCTTTCCCGGCCCAGGTCGCTTGCGGCTGCAGGTTTTGTTGCGTGGCGCAGTGTCAGGGGCGGGTGCAAGGGGGGGTGCGCTTGGCTGGCCCAGCGCAATTTCTAGGGGCCGCGCCGACTCGGCGGACGATCGTGCATTCGTCGGCGCGCGATGCCGACCCTGGTCCGCAAGTCAGGTAGATGCACGGGCCGCGGGCTTGGGGCTTAGTGGCCAGCGGCGCGGCTGATTGCGTAAGAACGCGGAGTAGGCTACGCGCGTGGTTGCTTGCGGCAGGGCTGCACTTCGGGCACCCTGCCAGGGTTGGGGGGGGGGGGGAACGCGCGCGATTGTAGGCGGTGGGGCGGCGATCATGGTTGCATCGGTAGCTCATTCTTGGCCATGGCCTGGGCCGCCGCGGCGCGCAGGCGAGCCTTGCGGCGCTCGGCGGAGGGCATGAGGCAGCGCTGTCGACGCAGGCGGGCCCAGGAGCATTCGGCTCTGCAGGCGGAGGGGCCTCGCGAAAGACTTGCAAAATCCTTGGCGGCAGATGAGTTTCTCATGCTGGTTTTTTGCGCCAAGATGCATAGCAAACCTGCTGAGCTATTTTGCGGGTGATTGGCGGGTGGTGCGGAAGAGTGGCGTGGTGGTGGGGCTGTGCTGCCTTCTACTGGAGCCATTCGGCTGGATCGTGCGCGGCGCCTATGTAGCTTGCGCCGAAAGATCCGCTATACGCGCGTCTGAGGGCACGCGGGAACAACGGCGCGCTACCTTGACGGACGGCGGTCGCAAAGGGCATATCAGTTGGGCGCGCATACGTGCGTGCATCGCCTTAGCCGTCAGATCCGCCTTAGCTGTAGCCCCTAGAGCTAACCCTAGCCTCAGCCCTGTCCCTGGCCTTGGCCTTAGCCCTAGCCTCAGCCCTGGCCCTCGAATTAGCCAGAACCCCAGCCCTAGCCAGAGTCTTAGTCTTCGCCCTGGTCCGAGCCTTACCCGATGGATCTAACCTTAGCCCTCGCCCCCGCCTTAACTTTTCATTCGCCCGAGCCGTGGCCCGAGCTCTCCCTAGCCTTTGCCGTAGCCTTCGCCTTCGCCTCAGCGTTATCCCTGGCCCTAGCCCCTGCCCCAGCCCCATCCCTTGCCCCTGCTGCAGCCCCAATATGTAGCTCTGAACTGTTGGCATTAGCTTCTGTCCCAGACCGCGATGCCAGCCGGCATGGCTCTCATCGTTGATGGGCTGT